CCCTCCGCCAGTCCTCTCATTTCAGAGCTCCTCACTCAGATATGCTACATGAGGAGAAAGACAGGCTGGGTAGAGAAGATGTTTCCCAAGTTCTCTCATTTTAGATATCCTCACTCAGATATGCTAAAGGAGGAAAAAGACAGGCTGGGTAGGGAAGATGCCTCCCAAGTATCACTGTGCATTTGTATTAAATTAACTCAAATAAATAATTTTTCTTCACTAAATATTTATAAACTCTACAATTGCCAAGTAAATCTTGGTGACATGATTAATAATTGACATGCCAACAGGTTTGAACCCACTGTCAACTTTACAAGTGATCTAACCCATGAGGAAATGCAGTAGTCCAAAAGTCAAGCCTATTTGAAGGTTTGGATATCCTGCGGGTCCCTGGGAGAGAAATACAGGCAATCTCCTATCGTGCAATTTACAGACTTGGAAACCAGTGAAGGGTCAGCTACGTGTCAGTTCTGACTTGATAGCAATGAGTTAAATGAGTGAACAGGTCTGTGGGAGAAAAGAAATCGAGATCTTTTCTTGTAAAGATTAGTCTAGGAAGCTCTATGAAGAAGTCCTACTCTATTGTGATTCCTAAAGGACTGTCTTGGTGAGGGTGAAACCTTGGAGCTGGGGTTTTAAAGCTCCACCTCACTTAGTTTGGGCATGTGATCAGAGATAGGTCCTTGGAGAAGACATCATGCTCAGAAGGGTGGATGGACAGTGCAGTGGAGGAAGACCCTGGATAAGATGGATTGATATAGTAACTGATATAGTAACTGGGGTGATTTGGGTTGGTGTGTCAGAATTAGTGAGACTGGCTCAGGTACATAGGGTGGCTATATATCGCAGGTGACTCCATGGCACATAACAACAATAACATACTATGACAGGTGTGGTAGGAGGAGTGGCATCCACTTCCTAAATAACATGCCTCCGGAAACTGTATGACTTTTGATAAATGTCAATAGTTGTAGAGGGGCTTCAGGCCTTTTGTTCATAGGGTCTCTATGGGTCGTGCTCAACTTGAAGGCAATCAACAACAACACAACATCACTACAAGAAGTAATAGACTTAACAACATAAAACAACAACATAGTTAATTTCCCCTGGTCTGTCTCTCACCCCAGACCAAGGAATCCAACCTGGGAGCCCCCTCAATAAAGTGGCTTTTTAGCTCTCAAAAAAAGCCCCAAAACAAACAAACAAAAAACCCCAACATAGTTATTTAAACTTATTTTCATAAAAAATTAATCTAAAAAACTGCACTATATTTATTTTTATTATTAATAATAATTTTAATGAAAATTTGCAGAGATTTTTTATTTCCATTCATTCATTGTTGCACTTTTCTCCCTGCCACCCCTCCCCTCCAGTTCGTTCTTCTCTTTGAAAAGTAAAAGAAAAAGGCTTTCATTGTAATACAATCCTTCCCCCCAAGTCCAGTCCACTACACAGCTTTGGTTCAGGACTCCTGTCATGACAATAATGCCTAATTATATTTAATTTCTAAATTAATGAAATTAATCTGCTACGCAAGGCTTTTTCGAAGCATGTAAGCCTCACAACTTAAGAAAATATCTTCAGCTTGTAAGTACACTACATATATTTCTGCTCAACCATTCTCCTCCCATCTGGATGCTTTTCTTTTTAGCTATTAGGAAGAAAAATTACAGAAACCAGCTAGCCAGCTAAATAGACAGATACACAGCTATCTGTCCTATTTTTTCCTTCTTTGATACCATTACTCAATTGATCTCTTCTATTGTCACATTTTCTTATATTCTATATAGCAAAAGATAAAGTAATAGAAGTAATTTTCTTGCCTAGCACACTTCTGTAAACTAATAATTAGAAATTTATCAACCAAAAGGGAGATAAGAGCATTGGAGCAAAGGCCACAATGACAGGACAGCTGAGAGGCCGCTTTGGATCCTGTCTGTCCTCTAAAAAAGCGGAGCCAAAATCTGGGTCATTGTATTCAGCAGGGAGCCTTGAAAAACCTTCTTACTTCATGCAGCACAATTCTGAGTATCTTTTGACCTAGTTTTGCACACGAGAAACGCAAGGCTGCCAAGGCAGAGAGACTCTAAGTGTTGGCTCTATGCCTTTCTGTTCCTGAAGGGATTCCTAAAATGTTAGCTGTCCCATAATTCTTCTCTTTCCAGGAAACAATAAATTGACCAGGCTTGCTATCACTTGATTTAGATGCCAATGCTCAATTTATATTGTTTTTTCAGCTTGTATCCAATGGTACCATGAAGAGGAATGTGACATAAGGATTGGAGACTCATCAATAACCTGCATTATGCAGATGACACAACATTACTTGCTGAAAGTGAGGAGGATTTTAAGCACTTGTTGCAGAAGATCAAGGAATGCAGCCTTCAGTATAAGTTGCATCTCAATACCAAGGAAACAAAACTTCTTACCACTGGACCAATAGTCAGTGTCATGATGGATGGAGAGGAGATTAGAACTGTCAACAGCTTCATCTCTCGCTTGGATTCACAGTTAACACCCTTGGTATGAGCAGTCAGGAAATTATGAGACACATTACAATGGGGAAATCTTCAGTTAGGGACCTTTCCAAATTACTGAGGAGTAGTGATGTCAGTTTGAGGACTAAGATGTATCTGATTCAGACCCTGGTCTTCCCAATTACTAGCTATGTATCCAAGACCTGAACAATGAATAAAGATGACAAAAAAGAATTGATGCTTTTGAGCAGTGGTGTTGGAAAAGAGCACTACATTCCATGGATGACCAAGGAAACAGATATGTCTTGGAGAAGATGCAGCCAGAATGCTCTTTGGAGGTAAGAATGATGAGGCTTCACCTCACATACTTCAGATATATTGCAACAAGGTGCTATTCCTTGGAGAGTGATGTGATGTTGGGAAGGATGGAAAGTCGGCGAAGGAGAAGAAGCCCCTCAACCAGGTAGATTGACATGGTGACTGCTGCAATGGGCTCTTGTGTGTCAGGAAGTGAGAGGATGACCCAGGACAGGAATAGGTTCAGATCTTTTGTTCAACTTGATGGCACCCAACAACAACAATAATCCAGTGAAATATTATTTAAAGATTACTGAAGCTGAAAATGCTTAGGTCTTTTTATCACCATTGCTGCTTAAAATGTCAGCATCCAGAACACATCTGTTTTCATTTATAAAGAGGCTAAGTTTATTGAGTATTAGATTAATGTTCTGATGGCCTAGTGGCAAGGAGCTGCACTGCAATCTCAAAGGCACGAGGTTCAAATCTGAGAAATCCCTTCCCATGCAATTAACTGCCTCTGAAAACCCACTGGAGGGTCAGCTATTGGTTGGTTCCAACTCTGATGCACAACAATAACAACAAGTTAGTGTTAGAAAAAAACCCCCCCCCCCCGCCCCTAATCTTAGTATAGGATTCCAGGGCCTTTTGATGACACAGGGTCAGTGACTTGTTGATCTTCAGTAGTACAGCTCCTATTTCCCTAAAGATCATATATCACAGTACCATCTCTTGTGGTAAGAGCTAATGACTGGTCATAACAGTGTCTACTATTTCCAGTCAGAGGATGATCTTCACAATACTATGTCCATGTACCCTGTTACCAAAAATCCTGCAGAAATACAAGGCAAAATCTGACTTTATAAAACTGGCTCTAAATGTAGTCTTTCTTAATTTTACACCATGGTGGAGGTTTCAGTCAACATGAATCACATCGTATTTTGATAAAAATGATGTATAAAGAAACTGTTGTTGTTAGGTGCTATTGTGCTGAGCGCAACTCATAGTGACTTTATGCACAAAAGATATGAATCCCATTCTATCCAGTCCCTTCCTCACACTGCCTGACACTCAAGAGCCCATTGTGGCAGTGACAACCTATGATATTTACCTTCAATACTCTCACAAGATTTTATTGTGTCCCCGCTAGCTATAAGGAATAGAGTTATTTATAACAACTCTTCCATTTCTGAGAAGTCAGTAAAATGTTTCAAAGGAATCTAAATCCAGATGCACTGAGCAGAGAATGTGTGAACTGTCTCCTCTTGCAAAGTTTGACGGCATTGGAAACTTGACAGTGTTTCCTCTTGTGTCAGAATTAACTAGATGACAGTGAGTTTGCATTGTTTTTAATCTCATTTTGGAGAATCTTTGTAGCATAGAATTAATTGCACCTCATGAGAAAGAAGAGGCAATCAGTTTCTGCAAAAATGTATGCCTTCAGAAAAGAGAGAGGCAATTCTACTCTCTTTTCTGGAGTCACTGTTACTCCGAATCAACTCAGTAACAGTAGGTTTACTACATTTGAATCTCTGTTGTTAAAACAGATTTTTATGTGTGACTCTTCTCTCCACTAGGATTGTGAGCTTCTAGAGGGGAAGAAATGTGGATTTTTCATCAATACAGTCTCTAGATTTATTACACAGCTACAATTTGAAGACTGAAAGGCATTCAGTAAATATTTGTTGAATTGACAGAAACATAAGAATGTACTAAAGTAGAAAATGTCAACCCAGTAGATCAGAAAATGAAAGCTTCAAGCTAGTAATTTTCCTGGTCAACTAGGTTTGACAAGTCCACATTACACGTGTTGCTTACATTTTGTTCTTGAAATGATATAACGGGGGGAAACGTGGCTTAAATCCTGATTTTAAAAAATAAAATTAATTAGTGGGATTTTTTCCCCCTTCCCAGTGTTCTGAAAAAGTATAGGCATAAAACTAAAATCTTAGTTATTTATATCCTCTCTGATCTTTTTCCAAGTTTAATTATTGATTTTGATATACCAATTTATTCCATTGTGGAAAGGTACTATATTATGGTAATAACAAATGGAATCCTAGTTTTATTATTTTCCTATTAGGTAGTGTTTAACAGCAAAATAGAAGAGTTTAGGATTATCATCATTTCTTTAAAGTTTTATTATCATTTTCTTTAAAGTTTCTTCAACCCAAGGAAATGAGCCAAAATTCAAAGGAAAACATCACTATAATTTATTTACAGTACCTGTGTATGCAAATTGGACAAGGTCCCAGAGGGCATTGGGGTCTATGCCTTCCATCTTGATCTCTTCTTGCTTGGCTTCACAAACATCACTTGTAAACATGGCAGCAAAGTAGTCAGAGACCGAACTCAGAACAAGCCTGAAAAAGTCACAGGATATAATTTAGACCATGAATATTGATAATAAAAACTACAATGATCAATTAGAATGCAGCGCAAAGAAACAAAATCAATAAGTCAATAAGTTAATAGATTTATTTAGGCACTGCCTTATAAATTTCAGGGACCTCCAGTGGACTAATGGGTAGAGAGTTGGTCTTCCAACCAAAGGTCAGCAGTTCAAATCTACCATAAGAGATGAGTAATCTCCTCCAGTATAATTCAGACTCTGAATATCTGCTAGAGTATCAGCTATGAGTTGATTGAAATTCAATAGTGATGAGTTTGAACTTTATAGTTTAATAAATTTAACTTTTAAAAACTTATTTAGTTATATTCTTTGATAACTAAATGTTCTTCCTGTATTTTTATCTGTAGTTTGTAATGTTACCTTTCCTCTCAGGATTCAGTTTTATTTATCTTGGCCCAAATTTTATAATCCTGTCCCAATTTTTACTGTGCTATCTTCTAAAAAATCTGATTTTCCTCAATTAATTATGAAATAAATTTTATCAAAGACATATATCTTAAAACGTATGAATATTACTTTAACATTATATAATGTTTGTATCTATTTGCATAAATACAATATTCTTTTTCTAATTTTATTATTAGAAATATGTCTATCATCAATATTCATCAATAACTATTAAAATAATTTTATTGTTCTTCTTTATATATTAACAGACTTTTTTTTAAAATAAATTTTTTATTTTCTTCAATATGTCAAGTGATAGAAACTACAAGATGAAGAGGTAATTAAGAGGTGATAGGTAGGAAGTTCAGTCTGCTCTGAGACTTGACAAAGAATAAAGCCCCAGAAATTGATGGAATACCAGTGACATATTTCAACATACTGTCCTGGACGTGCTTATCAAGTTGTGTCAAGAAATCTGAAGGACAACTAACTGGCCAACTGACTGGAAGAGATCGTTTTCATTCTCATTTAAAAAAAAAGACAGTACAGAGTGTGGATACACACTGCTGAAGATTATCCAAAACTGACTGGGGCAGTACATTCACATAGAACTATCAGAAATGCAAGCTAGGTTTAGAAGAGACACTAGACGCGTTATTGCCAATGTTAGATGAAACTTGGCAAAAAAAAAAAAAAAAAGAGTACCAGAGGAATAACCATCTGTGTTTCATTGACTATATAAAGGCATTTGACTGTGTGGATCACAACAAATTGTGGTTAATCTTGAGGGAATTACCGAACACTTGATTGTGCTCATGTGAAACTTGGATCAAGAAACAAACCTCAGAAAAGTGCAAGGAAACACTGCCTATTTCAAAATCAGGAAAGGTGTGCATCAGGGACGTGTCCTGTCTCAACACCTTTTCAATCTATACACAGAACTGATCATTTGGAAGTCTGGGTTTTATGAGAGGAACGTGGCATCAAGATTGGAGGAAGATTCATCATTGGAAGAAGTCTCATCAACAGCCTACGTTATGCAGATAATACAAGATGAAGCATTTGCTGCGGAAGGTCAAAGGACTATAGTTTTCAATATGGATTGGAGCTCAACATCAAAAACACAAAGATTCACACCACTGAGCCAATTGGCAACACCATGATAGATAGAGAAGAAATTGAGGTTGTTAACAATTACAGTTTGCTCAGTTCTGCAGTCAACACTTTTAGCACCAGCAGTTAGGAAATTGAAAGACAAATTGCAATGGGAAAATCTGCTGTCAGGGACCTCTGCAGAGTCATGAATCTCTCCAGAGTACTGAGAAGCACCAATGTCAGTCTAGAGATAAGGTACACCTAATCCAGATCATGTTCTTCACAATTACTTGCTTTGCATTAGGCAATGACGAAGGATGATAGAAGAAGAATTGATGTCTTTGAGTTGTGGTGCTGGAGAAGAATCTTGAACATACCATGGACTGCGAAGAAAACAAAAAGATCTGTTTTGGAGAAGGTAAGTCAAGTTTCTCCTGGGAGACTAGGATTTTGAAGTTTTGTCTCACATACTTTGGGCATGTGCCTAGGAGTGACCGATCCCTGAAGAAAGACATCATGCTCTGAAGTGTGGGGGGACAGCACAGGAGAGGAAGACCCCTGAGATATGGATTGATACAGTAACTGGGGCAATAAGGGTAGGTGTGTCAGAGTCAGTGAGACTGGCTCAGAACAGGGCAGGCTTCAGACTGTTGTGCATAGGATCGCTATGAATTTTAAGAATCTTGATGGCACATAACAACAACAACAACATGCAGAATTTTTTAAATTTAAATTGAAGATAATTGCCAAATTTATATAAGGCCATCCAATCCAAGATTATCAAAGAATATCTGGTTTTTAAGATTAACCTTTTTTTTTCAGAAGATTTTCAATTTTCCTGTTATTTCCTACCATGTTCTCATTTACTTTATGCATAATTTTGTTAGGTGTTGTGGAGTTTTACACAACAAATCTGAACTCTGCCTTACCCTGCACCATCCTCATGATTTCTGATATACTTGAAACCATTGTTAGTCACTGTCTGTGTCAATTCACCTGTTGAAGTTCTTCCTCTCTTTCACTGACCCTCTATCATTAGTCTTTTTGAAGGACTGGTTTAGGAATCCTTGCAATACTTGGAGAATCTCGATATCAAGAGTCAGAACCAGACCATTTCCTGACTGTGGATCAGATCATAAATTACTCATGTTCAAGTTCAAACTGAAGCTGAAGCTGTTTAAAACAAATCCACAAGGAGCAAAATATGAGCTTGAGTCTATTCCACCTGAATTAAGAACAGGTTTGAGGCATTAATCTCCAATGATAGAAAACCAGAGGAGTTGTGGAATGAAATCAAGAGTATCATCCATGAAGAGAGCTAAACATCATTATTGAGGAGAAAGAAAAAGACAAAATGAAATCAGAAGAAAATTGCATTAGAGAATTAAGAAGCTAAACAAAGAGAAGGCATGCTGAAGTAAAAGAGAAGAGCTGTACAGATTTCAAAGGGCAGCTTGAGAAGAAAAAGCGAAATGTGCAAAGAATCTGGGGCCAACGAATAAAAAGGGAAGAATTCTTTCTCAAATTGAGGGGAATGAAAAAAAAAAGTTCAAGCCACAAATTGCAATTCTTGAATGGGCAAAATTGAATTGCAATTCTTGAGTGGGAAAAATGTAATTTGATTCTTGAATGACCAAAATCTTGAATGATCTCAGAAACATTACAAGAAATTTGAAGAAATACACAGTCACCTAACCAAAAACTTCAACACAAAAAAGATTTCAGGAAAAAAACATATGAACAAAAACAATTGGTAACTAAGGAAGGAGTTCAAGCTATACTGAAGGCAATGGTAAAAAATAAGGAATACGTGGAATATTTATTGACATTTTTAAACTAACTGATTCAACTCTTGACTTGCTCATCAGTCAATCCCAGGAAACTTGACTGGAAGAGACTCACATTTGTTCCTATCCCCATGAAAGATCATCTAACAGGATATGGAAATTATGAAACAATGTCATTAATGCCACATATAAAAAAGTATTCCTGAAGATCATCTAAAAACAATTAGAACAGTATATTGACAGGAAACTCCCAAAAGTACAAGCTGGGTTTATAAGAAGACATGACACCAGAGTTATAATTACTGATGTCAGATATATCTAAGCTGAAAGCAGAGACTATCAGAAGAATGTCTATCTGTATTTCATTGACTATCCAAAGATATTTAATTGTGTGGATCACAACAAACTACGACTAACAGCAACCAATGGGCATCCCAAAACATTTAATTGCACTCATGTGAACAATGTATCTACACCAAGAAACAGTTGTCCTAACAGAACAAGGAAATAATGCATAGTTTAAAATCAGGAAAGATGTGCATGAGAAGTGTATCCTTTCTCCATGCTTATTCAATCTGTATGCTAAGCAGGTAATTTGTGAAGCCAGAGTCTGTGAAAATGAATGTGGCATCAAACTCAAAGGAAGGCTCACTAACAACCTGCACTATACAGATGACACAGCCTTGCTTGCTGAAAATGAGAGGGACCTGAAACACTTGTTTCAGAATATCAGACTACACTTTTCAATATAGATTGCATGCTAACATCAAGAAGACAAAGATCTTTAGCACTGGGCCAGCCTTCAGTTTCATGATAGATGTGAAAGGAATGAAACTGTTACTGATATTGTCTTGCTTGGATCCTTAATCAACATCCTTGGTACTAGCAGTCAGGAGATAAGAAGACATATTGCTTTGGGGAAGTCCACTGTCGGGGACCTCTCCAAAATATTAAAAAGCACTATGTCAGTTTGAAGACTAAGGTGTTCCTGAGTCAAGTCATGTTCTTTTCAATCAATTGCTATGCATCTGAGAGGCAGACAATGAATAAGGATGACAGAAGAAGAATTGGTGCCTTTGAGTTTTGGTGTTGGAGAAGAGCACTGAATATCCATTCCATGGATTGCCAGAAGAAAGAACAAAAGTTACGTCTTGAAAAGGGTACAGCTGGGGCGCTCCTTAGAGGCAAACATGACAAAACTTCATCCCTTATATTTGTGACATGTTGTGAGGAGAGGCTATTCCTTGGAAAAGGATATCACACTTGGAAATGTGGAAAGTCAGTGAAAGAGAGGAAGACTAAGTTGAGAGTGATTGACACAGTGCAGCAGCAGCCTCAAGTGTATCAGAGAGCGTGACGATGGCACAGAGTACCCACATCTCTTATCCATAGGGTTGGTCATCATGAGTTGCACTGGAGTTAATGGAACCAAAAAAAAGCAGCAGCAACAGCCACAATAACAACCTCATACTAGTGTATGTACCACCAGGTTGGTTGAAAATAATTGGTAACTGGACTCTGAGTGCATTTTCAGGGGCAGTAAATCACGTGAGAAGAGACTGACCATTTTTCTCTTCTGGAGTAGCTTATTCTTTCAAACCACATGTCTTTGGGTTGACACTTCTTAAAACCAGAAGACCAGGGTTCTTTTTATTCTTTCTTTCAATTATTTTTCTAGAAT